AAGAGGTATCAGGAGGGAGTTTGTAACTTTTCAGCACCTTTCAGCAACCTCTATGAGGCATATTGTGGTTAAGGTCAAATGGAAACTCTTGGAATTGCTCAATCCATTCCATGTAGTTAATACCAAACAACATTGGGTCTTCAGGCATGTGAAAGATATATCCTGTGAAAGATATGTCCTGTGAAAGATATGTGAGAGATAGTGATGTAGATGAAGGAGACTGGCGTACTTTGCTATACCAGCTTCCTTTACAAGAACGCTGGGTGGCCCATGAGGGAAGATAGTACATCAAGGCTTACAGTGGACTATGGGGAGCTGAACAAGATGTGATACCCGTTGCTGCAGCTGTTTCTGCAGCCGTGGTGGATTAGGTAGCTCAAGCCCATGGTGAGTGGTATAGGGTTATCAATCTCACCAGCACTTTTTTCTCTCTTCTTGAGATTGATACTAGTCAGAAGCAGTTTGCTGTCACCTGGGAAGAAGTCCAGTATATCTTTATTGTCCTTTCTTAGGGCTACCAAAATTCATACTGACTTATTTTGATAGACAGTGACCTAAAAGAGGCTTTCCTTCTTCATGGAATTGATAACATAGTGTTGACCAAGATGGACAAGGCCACAATGTCTGAAAACCCTTGATCAGATAGATAGTAGCCCATGTGAGGGGAAAAAAGTAGGAAATCACCCCAAGAAAATCCAGGGAGAGAAGTTTCTAGGAAGGTGGTGGAGTAGGTCAGAAAATTCCAAGCTCTCCAGATTTCCTCCACAAATAAGGCTCTTTAAAATAACCAGACAGTATAAGGCTGAAATTGCTGTGGTATAGGAAACGATGAGTTGATGGACTTAGAAAAATATGGAAAGACTTGGACCTACCTATGAAGGAAGATGTTATCCACCCTCAGAGAAATAGAGGACAAACAAGTATAGTATAGTCTTACTTAGATGGATAAGAATGTGTATGTCTATATATGAGTATGATTATAGCTAAGTATATGTATGTAAGTGTATGTATGTGTGTATGCATGTGTATATGTTTATGTGTATATGTGTGTATATGTATGTATGTATATGAGTATGTGTATATAGGTATATATGTATATATATATGTGTGTGTGTGTGTGTGCGCGCGCGCATGTATAAATATATCCTCCCTTAATCGTGGTCTTCTTGGGGGGGGAAGAAGGGGAAAAAAAGAACAAAGTAAAAAGTACACAGCAGAAAACAAAAGAAATCTTACAAGGAATCAAAGAAAAGATGGACAGCTTGGAACACAATGTGTAGTATTTATTATATAGGCTTTTTTGAAATGGAAATTTATTGCTGTATATTTTGAATCCTCTCTTAAGTTCTGTTGTGCACATGGCAAGGCTTTTTTTTTTCTTTTTGCTTTTGTATTTAAGTTTAAAACATATATAATAAATTAAAGAAAAAGAAAACCAGGGTCCAGCTCTCTCAGTCAAGTTCAAGGGAGTATAGTGGATGAGGAGAACATAGATCATTTTGAACATAGTTCAGAATAAGCTATTGACACATGCTTATTCACAATCTGAAAAGGATAGCCAGATACTTTTTGTTTTTTGAGGGTTCTCAAGAACACACAGTCCCTACTTGAGTATGCTGGTAGCCCCAATTTACTGAGTCACCCAGAATGGAGCCCAGGATAGACTTCAGGCCTGGAAGACTTAAAATGGTTCATCTAGCAGTTTTCACCCAGGGCCCTTTTGTTCCTTTGAGGTCCATATTTTTTAAGGTCTCTGTCCATAAAGACCTGGATGAGTAAAGCCTTTGGTGGGCACCTGGTTGTGGGAGGAGCTACAAGGGGAAGGGAAGGCAATAGACTTTTACATAGCGTCTCCTATGTGCCAGATGCTGTGCTAAGCACTTTTTTTCTTTTTACAAATACTATCTCATTTGATTTTTACAACAATCTTGAGAGGTAGGTGCTGTTATTATCCCCATGTTACAGTGGAGGAAACTGACACAGAGTTTCAGTAACTTGCCCAAGGTTATATAGCTAGTAAGGTTCTGAGGTGGGATTTCAACTCAGGTCTTCCTAATGTCAGGTCCAGCACTCTACAAATTAGCCACTTCTGTGTCACTTTGGAAAAGCAATTGTTTGCCTGTTCCTTGCCTGTTGCCCTAGTCACTACTAAACAGATGATGCAGGTCATACAATCGCCCTTAATCCAGAGTTTCCTATTATTAGTGGGGTGATGCAAGATGGCTTTTCTAGCAAGATGGGTAGGGCACCAGAAGCATCTATTGCTAAATGGGAATGGTATATTTAAGCTCACCCTTGCCCATGTCCCTCATTTGTGAGGGCCTTTCACAAACAAGACGTAATACTGTCAGAGAATGACATTTCCAACTCGTGCCTTGACACTCTGTGTCCTTTGTAGCCCATCGAACACCTGGCTAGGATAACCTGGCTCCTGAAGAGCACTGTTATGACAGGTTTGTTGTTATAACTTCAGCAGCCATTAATCTAGTAATGAGGTACCTGGTAAGTCCACACAGTGGGCAAAGTTGTGGGCATCATGGCTGGAATCTGAGAAGACCCTGAGGGACAGGTCAGGTAAGATCCTCACCTTCAATGACTTCTGTGCTTTGGCCTTGGGACTGCCATGAAGGCAATAAAAAGGCCTGTCCAAGTGGAGTAAGGGCCCTGCAGACTGGCAGATGCTTCAATGCTGTGCAGGTCACCACACCCTGCTCTGCTGACTGGACATTACTTTAGGGAGATGTTACTATATATGTTACTATATACTCTTTCTATGATATGATTAAGTAAGCCTCCTTTCATTAACTGTTGAATGACCAATTGGTGTTTCATTTCTTTCCAATGTAAGACCTAAACTCCCAGGGGCCTGGTCTGTGTCAGGACCAGCCAATGATTTACCCAAAGATGAAAGCCAGAAGTGAGATGATATTGATATTTTGTAATTATTCTAAAGCTAGGGTTATTGGTTCTAACTATCTACAAAGGAATCAAGACCTAAACACCCTTAGCTTTTTTCTTGCTTTTCTTTTGAGCAAATTGTTATTTTATTTAATTTGTAGGTATGTTAAGATGGCCTTTCTAATTTGTTTTATTGTATGCTTTCTGGCTAACCTAAATCAAGGTGGGATAAGCAAAAACAGGAAAGATGATACCTTGTCTCAAAGAAAGACTCCTTCCTCCAATACATATCCCCCACATAAATAACCTAGAGGTTTCAGAAAAACTTGCTTCCCAATATGCACTTCCCATTATGGGAAATCCTTTTTCCATTGATTAGATAGGGATTGAGAACTGTTTCTGCTAAATTGCATGCTGTTACTTCATTAATAAAATTCAGTAAATTGTCCCCAGACTCTGCTCCTTTTCCTTCCTGTATTATTTTAGTTTCTGGGATCTCCAATCCCCACTTTTCTTTTCCTCCAAACTTTTATTACATCTCCTTTGTATGGCCAGCTGAATCCATTTACAAATATGGGAGGCCAGGGGAAGTAAAATGTTTTCTGGTGTTTGAATTTATAAGTAAAAACTATGGGGTGAACAAATATAGGGTATTTCTTAACGGGTTGAGTGGTTATGGGAAAGAAGGTGAGGAGAAAAAGTAAGAGCAATAGAAGAGGGTTCCCCCCCTCCCTTTTGGGGGAAGAATTTGTTGGGAGGGAGAATGCTGCCCCCATACAAGTTGTCAACAGCTTTCAAGAATTCCTCCTCAAGATCCTAACACGCTCCAGATTGCATGAGAAGAGTCAGTAGGAAGACCAAAGGGTCTCCTTTTCCAATTCATCTTTCCTAGGTCCCTTTTTTTCAGTTGCACAAAATAGTGAATCAGGAAAATACATTAGCACGGTAGACACAGTCAGGGATCAGGAAGGAGGCAACCAGCGTCTCCCACATAAAGGGGAAACCTGGTAGAGACGCGAACACAAACTCAGGTTTTGCTTTCTTTATCAAAAGACTTTTGCTGAAGAGCAAACTGACTCCAAGACTCCCAGAAATATTGGCAGTGTGTCTCATGATGACGAGGGGAGGAAGAGGAGGAATGGGGGAGGAAGAGGAAGAAGAGGGGAAGAGGAAATAATTGGGGAAGTGAAAGGAGAAAGGAGGTAAGAAGAAAAGGTGGAAGGATGAAGAAAGGAGAGGAAGAGAGGGGAGGATGAAGAAGGAAGGGGAAGAAAAAGGGGGAGGAGAATGGGAGAGGAGAAAAAAGAGGAGGAAGAGGAGGGAAACGTCAGTTTGATTTGAAAGTTAGATGTGAAAACGAGAGCTAGACCATTCTTAGACACCCGCTTTTCCTTTAGGGGATCATCACCCCATTTCTTCGCTGTGATAAACAGGTTGCCCCTCTACTGCATCTTAGAAGCCAAAGTTCCTGACGCCCTCACTCAGACCCCGGCTACTCCTTCTTGACTAATTTTACTCCGCTTTCCAGCCCCCAGGACACCTACCAAGAAAGTGGGAGTATAGAAGTGAGTGAGGGGAATTTCTCTTTAGGGCGGGTCTCCGCTCTTAAATTCTTCTCCAATCTGCACAGCGGCTCGGTGTATTTGCATATATTATGCTAATACACAGACCGCCTTCTTTCCGTCCCCCCCCAGCTCCCGGGAGGTCTCTATGGTTGGGGGAGAGGGCGGGTGCGTCAAGCAAAGGTGAATAAATTATGCTAATGAAGTGGAGGTTCCGCTGCAGAGGGGGGCGGAGGAGTCAGAGTTAGTGCGCCGCGGCAGCGCAGCAGAGCGGCCACTGCTGGGGTACAGTATAGAGAGAGTTTAGTGAAGGGGGGGCGTTCTGTGGTTCTAGCGCGCGCACACGCACGCACACACACACACGCGCGCACACACACACACACACACTCTGAAGGATATTTAAGGCTCACACACGGGGAGCTGCAGATATAGTCGGGTAGCAGCTCCTTCAGTCTCACGACTGGTGTTCGTTTTTTGGGGGGTTATTACCCTTCTTTCCTTATCCACTCTCCTCTCCTTTTTGCTACCCTGATTTTATTTTACTTCTTTTTGCATTTTCCTTCCCCTACCCTTTCTTCTCCACTTTTTTTTCTCTCTCCTTTTTTTCTTTTTTTTTCGCCTTGAGCTGAATGAGCCCAGCGTGTGTTGAAAACAACAAAAAAAGCGAATTAATAATAAAATATTGAGAAAAAGCCTCGCAACAGGTCGGGCTGGTCAGTATCGGATGCGAGCTAGCGCCGGGTCTCTTTTGGGCACTCCTCACTCCCCAGGCGCCGGACTCCTGCAGTCCCTGCGCTGCTGGCCACTCTCGGGACACTGTGGCTGAGGGGTGCTTGGAGGGGATTAGGGGGTCCTGTGGGACTTGGTCTCCTTTAGAATTTTTCCTCCCGCCGCAGCCCCCTCCTGCCGGGGCTGAGGGTGCTTTTGGCTCACTGCTGGGTGGGGTGAGCTAGGAAGAGGATGCAGTTTCTGGGCTCTGAGACGAGCTGAGCTGAGGACCATTTATTCTCCTCTCCCTGCCTCTGTGGTTCAGCAAACTAGACCTGCAAACTCGGCCTGAACTTCGGTGGAACCCACCCTTTCCCTTTTTATTTTATTTTTTTCCTCTTTCTCTTATTTTCAAATTCCTCGAGGAGGTTCGAGGGCCGGAGTGAAAGATCAGACGGACAAAAACCCCCAATCATCATGCTGGGGAAGAACCAAGTAGCGAAGGGAGCACCCGATGGGGCCGAGAAGCCCAGCTCCTCTGCGGGACAGCGCTGCCTCAGGACTTTGGCCCCTTGCTCCCTGCTGCCGGCCGTGGTGTCCGCGATGTGTGTGATTGCCTGCCTGTACCTGGGGGTGAAAACCAATGACCTGCAGGCGAGGATCTCGGCCATCGAGGCAGCCAAAGGGGAACTTCCTTATCAGCTCCTGCCGGCTTCCTTGGATCGACTGGAAACAATGATGCAAGAGAAAATGGAACGACTTTTGGCTCAGGTGTGGTGGAAGCCTTGGTGGTGCGGGGGTGTAACATCTTACGGAGTGTGCGCCTAGCTCCAGCTAGTATGTAGCATGTACGCGTGTGCGTTTCTCGAGGCAGGACCTAGTCTAGAAATCTTAGCGTGTAACGTTATGTACATAAGTATCTGTGCTTCATTCAGTCACTGGAGCTAATGTATGCATGGGTAAGCGTGGGAGGGGAGTCTGAAAGTGCCCATGGTTGGCTCTTGCCTTTTGAGATAGTCATTCAGACTAAAATGCGTTTCTCTTCTCCCAAATCCATGGGAGTTATTCCATTCAGAGATTATATCTGTGCATTCCAATGACAATTCAGTCCAGGAAAGATTTAAGTGTTAACATGTTAATATTTCCTTTAAAAAAGGAAATTTCCTCATGGTTAAATCATAAAATATGCCAAACGTCTTATGCTTAGTGCTCTTAAAGAAAAAAACAAACAAACGTGTGTGTGTGTGTGTGTGTGTGTGTGTGTGTGTGTGTGTGTGTTTAAGGGTCCTAGCCCTGGGGAGTTTTATGGCTGCAGAAGCCTTTGAGTTGATATTTGAAAAAAGTTCCAGTTCATGGCTCCGATAGCTAAGGTTGGTTTCAGAACCTTGTTGGGAGGTTTTCTGGAACCTGGATTTGTTCCCTGCAGTGGAGAAAGTCTTAATCCTCAGCACTCTGCTGCTAAACACCTCAAAAAAGTTGACCTTCAGGTAGAAAATATTGTCTGTTTCTTCATCTTGTGTTTTTCACAGAGAACTGCAACATCTTGGTGCCAGGTTCTGTGGACTGCACATGCTTGAGGTGGGGGAAGGGGATAGGCCCGATGTTGTACAAGTCCAACAGCCTTGATAACATTTCAATTGTCATTTTCTTTTTTTAGGGCTGGGTTACTGTTACCTCTTGACAGAAGTCCAAGTACAGAAGTTAACTGTTAGTTATGCAGGCTATCAAATAGTGGAAATCCCCCTTAAGCCCAATGGGCGGCCAAATAATTCTATTCATGAAAGAACTGTTAAGCTATTGTTAATACTTTTTCTTTTCCCTACAGAAATCCTATGAGCATTTGGCTAAAGTAAGAATCGCCAGAGAATCACCTCTAGAGTGTAACTGCCCAGCAGGTAAAATGAAACTATTTAACAATCTTTTCTTTGTATCAGAAGATAAAAGAAAATTCTCATGTCTGTAAACTATAACTGTAATGTTAATAATGATGAAGAATCCAGAGCCAGTAGTTTAACAAAATGAATATGTCCTAGTCAACAGAATCAAAGCCCCAGGTGCATTGTGTGGTATACCTATGTTCACTGTGAGAAAGCAGAGGAGATAAAAATAATCTTCAAGGTAAATACAGGCAACATGATGCACAAATATAAATTCCATTGATATGCCGAATGAAAACTAGTCTTCAAGTGCATTAACTGGTTTTTGTGCCTATAGTGAAAATTGGGTATAGGTAGTTTTTCAGATTCCTTTCAGATAAATCAACAGTTTTCCATTTCTTTCCCATTTTGTTAGGGTGTTACATTTTAGGTCACCTTCCCTCAGTTTCCACTCCACTTTTTTGTTGTTGTTGTTGTTTAGAATGTTTTCCTGTCTTTATTCTCAGGTACAATCATGATACAGGACCAAAGTAGAGGTCAGTTTTGTGTCTTATGGCCTCCCATTAAAAGCCATTGCTCTCCAAATGTATGGCTAGGAGAAGGTGTTTTAGAGGTTGACATAATTCTCCTGTGACTTTCTGGTTTTCTGTGTCTGTAACCCTTCTCTTCCCTACACTTCTGTAGGAAGGGATCTAAGTTCAGTACAGTAGAAAGGTAAGAGGAATAATGAAGCAAAGGAATAGCAATCTTAAATTAAGTAACAATGCAGTGTTAATTTGCAATAGACTTTCTAGGCTGTGGAGATATTTTTGGCCCTCTTAACTACTTCATACACATGAATGTGGCCCTTGGGAAAATCCTAGTGGAGACCTACTGATATAAACCATTCATGAGTCCCAGGGGACTTGTTTTTTCACTTAAAAAAAAGCATGCTAATGCATTCATTCATAAGTATTTCATTCTTCATCAGTCATGCAAAATTCAATCTTTCACACCTTCTAGAGTCTCCAGGACCTTTAAGACCAATCACTTGTAGAGACAGAAAAATTATTTCTTAAATTTTTCCATATTCTGAGTTTCCCTCTTCCTGATGTCTATTTATTTTGACTTCTAAAAGCTGAAGTTTTTAATCATACCTTTTCTGATGTTTAATTCCATCATATTCTGGGGGAATGATGTAAGGCACAGGCTTTAGAACTGAAAAATACCTTAGGGATTCTAGTTCAGTCTTCTCATTTTACAAATGAGGAAACCAAGGATGAGGGAAATTGACTTGCCAAAGGTCGCACAGGTTGTAAGGAAAAGATGCAGCATCAAAACTAAGTTGAAATCCAGTGGAATTTCTCATATATTGTGATGACTTAAAAATTTTGTGGTTGGGTTTCTCAAATGCTTCGTTGACTGGGACAAGCATAGATCTGTCTTTAAAATCGAAGCCTTTCATTTGGAAGAGATATATACTCTGAAAAACAAAGAGTTAAGAGTGGACCTTTGTCAGCCAATCTTAGTTATTTTATGTTGGGGTAGACTACAGAAGTCAGACATTCAAGGAAGGCACTTTCTTAGCACAGGGATTAATTCACAACAAACTCATCAGCCTAGAGGGATTACTGAAATTCCCAGTGACAGTTGGTATAGGACTTTACTGATCATACTACTTACAGTTCAGCTCTTTCTGTGTTTAGGAATCCTAGGAGCCATGTGAAAAGTGTAGAACATTGCTGTAAGAATAAATAGTTTTATTAATTAGATTTTTTTTTACGTGCAATGACAACATTTTAAAATTGAGGACATGTCAATAACCAATTACATCTTTGCTTTCTCCAAAACTATCTGTATTTCCCATGGCTTAATATTGATTGGATATTGAAGCCTAGGACATAATTCTAAAGATAGAAATACATGAGGAAGGTTATTCAGTTTTGAGTTTATATTATATCATCCTGGGACAGCAAAGTGAACAATTTTCTTCCTTAACATTGGTTAGCTGAATAAATGGACTGCCACAGTACTTTTGATAAATGGCCATTCATTTTCTAGGAACAAGGACCTCTGCTTTGTGCTTGCTATTCATTGCCAATTTTTGAAGCCTTGCTTCCTTGCTACCACTAGAGCTCCACATTATATCAGTTTTTACCTGGATGTACTTGGGAGGCAAACATCTGGAGCTATACATTGCAATGCGCTGCATCAAACAGACTTAAGCTGTAAAATCAGAATGGGGCCATCCTCTACCAAAACCACAAAAACACAGCCAAACTTGGAATTCAAGCTTAAGACAATGTGCGTTTCCCCTTATAACTCACATTGCTTATAAAAAATAAATAGTATTTTAGTATTAGTTAGATTTCTGGTTTCTGAGCTATTTTTCTGCATTTTTTTCCCATCGGGATGAAAATATAGGTGTCATCAACATAAAGATGTTATGTTGAGATGTCACCCTAGAAAACTGGTTAATATTAATTATGGTTAATGAGGAATAGTCTGGACAAGAGGATTAGAAAGGGGATACAGATTGTTTGGATCTAACCCTGGTTGCCCATTGACTGTGTTATTATTCCCCAATTTCTTTCTATTGGGCAGTATGATATGAGTTCCTGTCCTTAACCCAATAGCCAAAAAGGCAAACAGCTATGGCCTGGCAGAAATGGTGTTATTTCATTTATGTTCATTTGGAATTATTTTTGAAAGCCTTCAAGCCCAGCAGAATTTGTGCAAGAGGGGCTGAGACAAATCTGACAGGTCTGCCAGGCTTAATTTACAAACAAAACACAGCAGAACAACAAACATTTATAGAACCTTCCCCAACTGAGGGTGTTGCTAGTTGGAATTTCCTTTCGAATATATAGATGAAGGTTAGTTCTTTGTGGGCGTCAAAACTGATCTCCTAAAGGATTTTTGCCTAATTGACAGCTAACTACCTTTTACCTTTTAGGTCAAGAATGAAACAGAGTAACTAGCTGGGCACATTTGGGATTTGGGCATGAAACAAGAGTGGTTCCCAAGAACTTTATAGTTGAGAGGTGTAAATCTGTCCCTCTTTCCAGACACCAAATATGATTTATGCAAAGGAGTAGCTTAACCATCTGACTTATTTTCTCATTGACTTTCTTGAGCTCAGGAATAACTACCCCCTCCCCCACCCGCCACCAAATGCTTGCTTTAAAAAAACAAAACCCATACAAACTGAAGCTCTGTTCAGCAGAATGTTTGATTTAGCAGGAGCTGAGCCATGGGAAGGCAGTCGGCTTCCGTGGCTTGGCATCTGCAGAACTTAACGCTCATAGAAGAGTGCATATTGGCTCCTTGCTACAGCTGCAAGAATTCTTCTTCTGGACTTTTGCTCAGCATTCTCCAATGTCCTGCATGAGGTATGCATTCACCAGGTGCACTGCCAGGAAGGCATTGCTGTGCCAGCTGATAAGGACCTCTGGCATCAGCAGGCTGGGAGCTAGCCAGCTGCCCAAACACCATTTGGAGCACGAGCCTTTCTGTGCCTTCCCTGGAAATAGCTCCATCACTAGTGTTTTTGGTTGGACAGAGAAGCTAGGCAGGAGGGATAGTGTGGTGAAGTGTGTGGGGTGTCAGGAAACCTGGTGTAGAGTCTTCATTCTACCAAGAACATTATGATTAGTCACTGCCACAGTTAGTACTATATAACAAGAAGTCATTACAGCTCTCTGAGTCTCAGTTTCCTCATTTGTAAAATTAAGGAGCTGGGCTTGATGACCTTTCTCCCCCTTTCTATCTCAATGAGTCCTAACAGGTTATTGATATTTCTTTTTTGTTTTAAAGAAAAATAGTATAATCTCATTTATTTACCATTGACAGAGATAACTTAGTTTGTGATGAAGGGTAACTTATTTTTTTTTATTTGAAATGAATAGTATAGCAATGGTCAGTCACTGAATTACTTAACCTTATTTGGCTACCCTACTTTTTTGCGGTGTGTGTGTGTGGGCAGCATGGACTTATGAATTCATTGATATAGGCAGTATTTGTTCTCTCTCCCCTTCCCCATCTCAATTCCCACTCCAAGGGAACTGGGCAATTCTTCTGCAATTTATGAGCTTTGGAGTTACCAAGGGCATTGAGAAGTTAAATGACTAGTACAAGGTCATACAGCCAGCACATGTCATTGGCTAGACTTGAACTTAGGTTTTCCTGACTTGAGCTCAGCTCTTGAAGACTTCTGGGGGCTAGCTCTCTATCCACCAGAACTCTTCATTCCTTAATGTAAATGGTCCTGCAGCCCCCTCTTTATATAGTAGTGAAAATAGCGTATTCTAATACTTTCTCCCTATCTTCACTGATCAAAGATCTCAGTTCAAGTCCCAGACTTGATTAAATTTAGCAAACATTTATTAAGCACCAAAATTAGTACTCTACTGGGGCTTGATGATACAATAATATAAAATGATTGTACTTGCCCTCAGAGAATTTATATTCTCTAGGCACTGTGAAGTTTTTTCTTTCTTTCTTTCTTCCTCCCTTTCTTTTCTTCCTTCCTTTCTTCCCCCAAGCCCTGGCTTTTCTACCTGTTGTTCCTGTTTCATAAAAACCCAAACAACTACAACAGAAGTTGAGATTTTTGACTTGGAGAAGGGTTTTAGTCCTGGGAGAATATAGTCAGGGATAACCTAGTGATGGTTTTTAATATATACATATTATGTTGAAGATGATTAACAGGCTAATGGATTTAGATCTGGAAGGGAACTAGTCCAATCCCTTATTTCAGAGATGAGGACACTGAAGCCAGGGATGTTGGGTGCCTTACTTAAGGTCATGTACATAGTCAAGTCAACGAGTATTCATTAAACACCTACTTCCATACTTGTATGCATTTATTCATTTGATAAGCATTTATTATATGCCAGGCACTATATACTAAATCTGAGGCTACAAAGAAAAGCAAAAACCAACCCTTGCCTTCAAGGAGCTTCCAATGGGAAGACAACATGCAAACAAAGAGAAAAAACAGGATCTACTCCACAGTCACTGTTCTTCCTATAGACTTG